GTATTAATTTGGCGACTAATTTTTTTTGGTTGCTGAAAATAAGTTTTTGGCGACCAAATTTTTGGTCGCCAAAAAATATGTGACCTTTTGCGACCAAATTTATAGTTGGTCGGCAAAAGTATAGCACTTTCTGCGACCAACTCATTTTTTGGTCGGCAAAATATATTCTTCTGCGACCAATAATATTTGGTCGCCAAAAATAATGATCATTCGCGACTAATTAATATTTGGTCGCCAAATGTCATTTTTTTGCGACCAAATTTTTTTTGGTCGGCAAAAGTGGTCGCAAAATATGTAAATTCTTGTAGTGGTATGTGTTGCATGCACGGCACACCCTGCTGTGCTTAAGCACAGCAGGCACCCCTTGTCCGTTATCAGAACAATAAATTATTAAATCAAAGTTAATTATAACTCACAGTGATGTTTGATTAAGTACTAAAATAATATTGATTAGGATCCATAGTTGTAGGTTGGGTTATTAACAAAGTAATCTTCCCCTATGCCCGAATGGTTTTAGTAAGTAAACTTAAATTTTAATGACTTAAAGTGAAAGTGCATTTGGTTATACCCTTGTTTTTGATTTTTTTTTTTTTTTTTTTTTTTTTTTTTTTTTTTTTTTTGTGCGTGTGGAGGGGGAGGGTGGTAAATTATGTCAAACTAATTCATTTAGGAAGAGATTTTTTAGTAGTTTTTTTAATTTTTTTATGAGGTGAAAAAAGTTATGTTTGAAAAATATTTTTATTTAATTTTTTTTGCTGCTTTTTTAGTTGTATAAAAAAAAGGTGAAAAATTGATGTGATTTTTTAACTTTTTATCTGAAATTTTCATTTTACCTTTATTTTAGTCTTTATTTTCAATTCTTTGTTGCTCCACCACCCTCATTGGATTCATTAATTGATTTGAATTTTGAAAATGCCACTCACGTAAATTAATTTAGATTTCAAAATTAGATATAGTGTGTTTAGAGAATTGATTAATAATTATTTATAAAAATACATGTAAAAATATACAGTTAAATATACAATTAAAACCCATAAAATATATATATACAACTAATCACTGAGTCAGTCATCTTATTAACAACTCAATAGTTTGATTCATCCTTTTCCTTCAATTTATCCAAAGTAGAAGGGGAAAAAAAAGTTAAATGTTTAAAATTGTAAAACATTCTTATCATTGAATGTTACAGAGAGTTGACATGTGAGTAGCACATATGTAAACAATTTGGAGATATCTCAAATTTTCCTTTTAATTTTTTTGTGGAGAGAATAGATTTAGGAAAATTAAGAAAGAAATTTTTTATTTTTTATTTTAAAAATCAAAACTAATGAGATAATATTTTTTACATAATTATTGGTTTAATGAGTTAGTCAATAACTTTTTAAAAAATTAATTTTTAATTCAAAAATTTAGATATTTAGTTAAAAATATTGGAGTTTCCAAATGATCACTTTTGGTTAATATATTATAGATATTCACTTTTTGTTTTACGAATAATAATTTCATTTTTTCTATAAAAAAATAAAAAAATTATCCAATTGGTTATAAAATCTGTTGAAATATGTCAATAATTGTAAATGAAATACACACGGTTAAAATCAACATAAAAAACAATAGAAAATATTTTTAAAAAGTAAGACTACATATCGAATTAGATTTATTATGGAAGACAAAACTAGTCAACATCTTTCAAGGCCCTTTATATAGCATAAGATCAATCAGTGAACCTTTTACTATTTTTTTATTTTTTTAATTTTATTTTAAAGTAGTAAAATCAATATTTATTATATGAAAAAATTAGTGAAACACCACTCTCTAATTTCTAGTGGTAAGAGGGATTCAATATGATTTTTCTTATTAGTTAAGGTTCTTCAATAATATTATTAAAAAAATTTTAATTTGTCATAAATTTCCTTTTATAAATTTGTGATTCGTAAGGTGACTTATATATACGTAATTTTTTTTTGTAAGTTGCATACGGTATTATGATGTATTACATACCAGAGTATTACCATGTATAAAAAATGCTTCAGAAAATTTTGGAGGAATGATCCGAATTCAGAACGATTTTTTTTTTTTTTTGTACTTCTCTTTTATCTGTCAAACAGAGGAAGAGAGAAAGAGAGAGAAGAAAGGGAGAGAGAAGAAAGAGAGAAGAGGGAGGGGGAGCCGATCTTCTCACGCCGACGCCGTGGCCGTGGTCGTCGCCGTCGCCGTCGCCTCCTCCTCCTCCTCTTCCGTCACTGCTGCGACCACCACTGTCGCTGCTACACCACCTCCGTCGCCGCCTTCTCTCTTCTCCTCTTCTCTTTTTCTATATATATATATATATATGTGTGTGTTTCATGGATTTGTGGGTTTGATTTGTTTCATGGATTTGTGGGTTTGATTTATTTCATGGATTTGGGTTTGTTTTGTTTCATGGATTTGGCTTTGATTTTCATTCCAGATTTGGCTTTGATTTTCCAGATTTTCCAGATTTGGCTTCTCCTCTATCTCTTTCCTCTCCTCTCTTCTTCTTTCTTTCCTCTTCCTTCTGCGAGTCATGAAAAAAAAAAAAAAAAAGCCAAAACGACGTGGTTTTGGGATTTCAGAGCACTCCAATTTTTCAAGCGGGACTGACCATGTATATACAATTTGTGCTTATAGTATTATATTAATCATTGTTTGAGATTGACTTTTTTTTAGTAATTTGTAATTTTTTTTTAGAAGTTGAAAAATTATTGCTATATATGAAAAGTTGCTAATTTTTTTATAGAAGCTGAAAAATTATTGCTATATTTGAAAAGTTGCCAAAAATTTTTTTATTCCTTTTTTAAGTGATTGGCAATCGGAATTTTTTTTACTCTTTTAGCATCACCCCAAACACCCACTCAATCCCTATATATATTTGCTTGGAGCCAAGTCTCTCCCAATACTAAAGTGCAAGTTATTCCACTGCACTGCCCAACTTGTTTCAAAGGCTATTGAGAAGGTTTTTTTAAAGACGCTTTTCTTGGCCATCCTCCTTGCGTCTGCGTCTGTGTCTGGTTAGTCTCTTTCTCTCTCATAAATTTGTGGAATATGAATTACTCCATAATAAATGTGGTCTATAAATTTTATTTGTTGAATAATTTTTCTCAGTACATAGTGGTGCTGAAACACCTAATTAGTCACTAATCACTACTCCAGCTGCTTTGTGTTCTAAGAAAACTGAGAAGCAAGCAAGCGAGTAAACACCCCCATATACCTATCTTGATCCCCTGCAAGTATCAATTAGCAACATAGCACTTTAAATGATCTCTCATTCACTTTCACATATCAGAATTACAATATATTCTTGACAATGACTTCTTCTATCAGCTCTGCTCTTGTATGTCATCTCATTAATTTTTTTTTTTTTTTTTATGTTTTTTTTTTAAAAAATTCTCTTTTAACGGTCAGTCGTCAAGCTAGTATAGAATGTTAGAATTTATCTATAAATACATACATACATGCATACAGACCATGTCTTCTGGCAAAAAACCACCCTTCATTATGGGTATTCTTTTTTTACATTTGCTTTCTTCTTCTTCTCGTTCTCTTCCGTTCATGACTCAAGCATCCGCCATGTTTGTGTTCGGAGATTCAACGTTGACGCAGGAAACAACAACATTGAAAGTGGTATTACGGAAAACTTTTACCCCTATGGTGTCAACTACAACAATCAATACACCGGCCGCTTTACAAATGGATTAACTGCCGATTTCATGGGTACCTTACTTACTTACCTACCTAACATTATTTTCAAGTTTCCTTGGGTTTTGTTTTGTGCTGTGAAGGTTATTGTGTATTGGTGTTTTAGGTGTGATTTTTCATTGTTTGTTTCTGTTGCAACCTTGCCAAATATTGGTGTCTTTCTGCTGAGGTTTTTTTTTTTTTTTTGGGTGGTTCTTTCTCTCCCTCTTCATTATCTGGCTATACTCTTTTTAAATTGGACCTAATGCCAGTAAAGATTTCATTTTCCATATAAAAAAAAATTGAGAAAAGAAAAGATTATGCTAACCAAATCGATTGTAAAATCTGTAAGAATATATGGAAACCATTATCTATAATTGTAATGTTTTGTTATATGTATATTTCTCAATTTTCAAAAATCATAAAATTAAAAGTTTTAAATTAATATTTTGGAGATATCTCAAATTTTCCTTTTAAATTTTTTAGAGAGAATAGATTTAGGAAAATCAAGAAAGGAATTTTTTATTTTTTATTTTAAAAATCAAAACTAATGAGATAAATATTTTTTATTTATGATTATTGGTTTAATGGGTTAGCCAGTAGCTTTTTAAAAAAAATTAATTTTTAATTCAAAAATTTAGATATTTAGTTAAAAATATTGGAGTTCCCAAATGATCACTTTTGGTTAATATATAGTACAGATATTCACTTTTTGTTTTACCAATAATAATTTCATTTTTTCTATAAAAAAAATAAAAAGATTACCCAATCGGTTGTAAAATCTGTTGGAATATGTCAATAGTTGTAAATGAAATATCAGTCATGCTATGTAGCTCGAAAGCTATGTAGCTCGAATCCCCCTAATCGAAAACGTTGCCATTTTTTTTTTTTTTTTTCAGAAGCAGAAATCAGGAGGAAGAAGGAGAGGAGAGGAGAGGAGAGGAGGAGGAGGAAGGAGGAGGAGGAGGAGGACTGGAGGGGGCCTAATAACAGGGGAGGAGGAGGCGGGGCCGGAGGCGGAGGTGGAGGCCGGAGCTGGAGCTGGAGCTGCTGCTGTGACGAGCTGGCGGCGAGGCGACGACGGCGGGGAGCTGCGACGACCACCAGCTGCTCTTCTTCCCCTCTTCTTCTCTCTCTCTTTCCCTCTCCCTCTCCCTCTTCCCCTCTTCTTCTCAGATCGGTTTCAGATCGAAAATGGAAGAAAAAAAAGAAAAAAAAAAAAGAAAAAAACCTAATGCCCAAAACGACGTTGTTTTGGGCATTAGGGGGATTCGGGGGCAAAATCCTCGAGCTACCAAACATTATTCATGAAATATATAGGGTTAAAATCAACATAAAAAATAGTAGGAAATATTTTAAAAAACTAAGATTACATATCGAATTAAATTATTATGGAAGGCAAAACTAGTAACATCTTCCAAGGCACTTTATATGGCATAAGATCAATCAGTGGAACCTTTTACTATTTTATTTTATTTTTTTTAATTTTATTTTAAAGTAGTAAAAATCAATATTTACTATATGAAAAAATTAGTGAAACATTACTCTTTAATTTCTGGTAGTAAGAGGGATCCAATATGATTTTTCTTATTAGTTAAGGTTCCTCAATAATATTATTAGAGAAATTTCAGTTTATCACAGAGAAATTTCACAAATTTGTGATTTGTAAGATCACTTATATAAGTTCATGAAAATTTATGTAATTTTTTGTAAAGTTACATACGGTGTTATTGTGTATATTACATACCAGACTTCTTCTATCAACTCTGCTCTTGTACGTCATCTCATTATTTTTTTTGTTTTTTTCTTTTAAAATCTCTTTTAAAAGTCAGTCGTCGAGCTGATATAGAATGTTAGAATTTATCTATAAATACATACATACATACAGACCATCTCTTATGGCAAAAAACCACCCATATTCATCACGGGTACACTAATTCTTGTTTTACTTTTGCTTTCTTCTTCCTCTTCTTCTCTTCCGTTCATGACTCAAGCATCCGCGTCGTTTCTTGCGTTGTTTGTGTTCGGAGATTCAACTATTGACACAGGAAACAACAAGAAGATTGAAAAGGGTATCACGGCAAACTTTTACCCTTATGGTGTCGATTACAACAATCAATCCTGCTTTACAAATGGATTAACTGCCGCTGATTTCATGGGTACCTTACTTACCTAACATTATTTTCAAGTTTCCTTGAGTTACTACTACAACAATCAATCCATCGGCCGCTCTACAAATGGATTAACTGCCACTGATTTCATGGGTACCTTACTTACCTAACATTATTTTCAAGTTTCCTTGAGTTCTATTTTTGCTGTGGAGGTTAGTGTATTGGTGTGATTTTTCGTATGTGTTTGTTTCTGTTGGAACTTGGAACCTTGCCAAATATTGGTGTCTTTCTGTTGAAGGTTTTTTTTTTTTTTTGGGTGGTTCTTTCTCTCCCTCTTCATTATCTGGCTATATTTTTACATTTCGAGTTAATAAAATTTCCTTTTGCCGAACCAAAAAAAAAAAGTGAACTTATTATTAGTACTAGTACTATATTCTCTGATTATAGTTTTTTCTTGATTCTCCCTCATACATATGTTGATCTTATTTTTATGGTTTCTTTGCAGCTTTCTCTCTTGTAGATGTGCCACCGCGTCTTGCTTACCACAACTTGACAGAGAGTGACAGAAAAAGAACTACCATCGCCATGGCTGGGATCAATTATGGGTCTTCTGGATGTGGTATCTTTACCACCACCAGACCCCCCAAGGTGAATTTTTCTTTTCTTTCCACTCCTTTTTAATCCGTGACCTATTTTGGTTCATTTTCTTTTCTTTTCTCAGAGAGAATGCTTCAATTTAGAACAACAGATTGACTTCTTTAAGGAGACTGTACAAGAAGACTTGCCATATTTGATTCCAGACCCTGATGCTCGCATACAGTATCTTGCCAAATCTATCTTTTTCATTTCCATGGGAGCCAATGACTACTTTTTCACTTATCCTACATCAAACACAAAGGTCCACGATCTTTCCTCCTTTCTTCTTCTTTTTCTTTTCTTTTTTTTTCTTCTGTACTATTACTGTAAGGAGTCATAACGACTAGAATTTCATTTATTTGTAGGACCCTAATGAGTTTGCAATCTCTCTCATCTTTGAGTTGAAGATCTACTTAGACGTGAGTAATCTTTTTTTATTATTTTGATCGGCTTGTGGCTGTAAAAAAAAATAAAGGGGATTTTTTTTTTTTTTTTTTTTTTTTTTGAAATATTTTTTGTTGACTTATTTTCGTGCGAACTTGTTTTAAAATTTTTCAAAAATATTTAGACTTCTGATTCTACTCAAATGAGACGAATCCAAAAATTAAAAAGAAAAAAAATTGAAAGCAATTCATTAAAGTTAAAAGCGAGTTTTTAAGCTTATCTTGGCATTTTAATCTTTATTTGGAATTTTTCAAAATGTTTCTCTTTAAATTCGTCTACATTGCCATAATTTACCAAAAAAAAAAAAGTCACTAAAAATAAAAATACTCGAAAAAAGATGTTGCCTTTTTATTTATTTGTTCCCAAACAAATTAAATCCCTTTTTCAAATTTTTTTTGGCAGATATTATATGAGATTGGAGCTAGACAATTCATCGTGAACAACATAGGTCCTCTTGGGTGTTTGCCATCTCTTAGATACAAAGACTATTTCTGGGCAGTGCAATGAAGACATGAACAATCTTATCATGCCATACAACTATTGGCTTCCTAAGTGGCTTAAAACTTGGACTCATTATGATTACAGTGGTATTACCTTTGTCTTGGCAGATAGCTATGGTCTTCTTAATCATATGGTCTACTACCCTAAAAAATTTGGTAATTTAATTTATTTATATATTTAATTTGTTACGGTTTTGGAGTCAGAAAAATGAACACAGTTTCTTTATCTTTTTTTTCTGTTGTTGTAGGGTTTAAAGATGTAAAACACCCATGTTGCGGACAGGATGTAGATGGGGAATTAGAGTGCCCCCCACCGCTACTCTCTGTAGCAACAGAGATGAATATCTCTTCTTTGATGGTGCACATACCAGCCAAGTGCGCCAATGCAACAATCTGCACTGTTATTGAATAAACATGTTTATGACTTGTTTGTTGAAGTTATGGGGACAACAATTAATTGAATAGTGAAATATTTAGTATTTTTCTGGGGTTGTTAACATTTCTTATCTTTTCTATTCCATTTATCTTTTGGGCAATTACCATTATGTAGTTTTTAGAAAAATTATTTACAGATGTGTGATTATAATATCTTTTGGTTTTCTGCTTCATAGAGTATATATAATTTCCTATGGATGAGTAAGATGGATAATTGGATTTACTAATCAAAAAAATAGTGTTATATACAAATAAATTTCTTATTTTTTTAATTTCTAAACACAAAATTAATGAAACTCACATAATAAATATGAGGCTCCTTGTGTCTAATAATAAGAAAATAATATTAAAAAATCTATTTATATGTAGTATTTTCTACAAGTATTGGGTAGGCCTTGACGAGTACAAACAAATAAGATTAAAAAATAAATAATTTACTATGTTTAGACTTTAATGTACGGTAAGCTACTAATCGAGTTAGCTCCATTAACGGCACAAAGTCGTTCTGGAAATGTCTCAAAAAATTTAAAGTCTCGTTTATAAAACACTTTTACACTAAATTAAGGGCTTCCAGCCAGTGTGGTCCTTTGGCCACCAACCAACTACTAACCTTGTAAGATGTGTGTATTTTTTTGTGCAAATATATTATTATACTATAATATTTTAATATAAAAGAATTGTGGGAGAAAACGAATGGTGGAAGAACAAAAAAAATTAATGGTGAAGGAAATATCATACTATTTAAAGTACTGCACTAAATTAGGTAGCACAATAGGAGGGCAAAATAGTTTTTTTTTTCAAGATAATCTTAATACCAAGTCTTCCATCCATGTGATTCACAGGGTTTGTTTGTCACAGCTTATGAGAGTTAATTATGACTTATTTTAATTTAGAAATTTGTACCAAATTATTTGGTATTGTTTTTGCTTATAACTTTTTAGGCAAAAATAAGTTAAATAAATTGAAAAAATCTGATTATATAGAACTTAGGAGATGAGTGTTTTTTATTTTTACTTTCTAATTATCAATTTTCAACTTTTTTTTTAATCAGCAAAAATAAACTTTATTAAATTAAAACCAAGGATAAATCCTTACATCTTACATCAATAAAGATTGACAAAAATAGTGCTAATAGCATCATAGTGGACTTTACTCATCCCAACTAGATTGTTACAAGAAAAACCACCCAATCACGTGCTTACACTTGCCAAAAGCTAGTTGATGAGAGCTCAACCAGCAGAAAGAAAAACCAACCAGCAGGGCAAAACAGCAGCAGCAGCCACAACTATACCACTATAACCCAAAGCAAAGAAATAAACACTAGCAACCACAACTCAAAGCCCTTTGATAGACTTCAAATTATAAAGCAAATCATTAACTGAAAAATCCACCCCCTTAGTATGGTACTTCACCAAAAAAGCAATGGGCAACTTAATGGACTCACAAACTTCACATCAATTAACCACTGATCCATTATAAAGCAAATCATTAACTGAAAAATCCACCCCCTTAGTATGGTACTTCACCAAAAAAGCAATGGGCAACTTAATGGACTCACAAACTTCACATCAATTAACCACTGATCCAGCAAATTTGATTTCATTCCTAGCCTTCCACACAAACCACATAACCATAGATGGCAAGGCATCCCACATACACTTGAGCATTTTCTTAAATTTAAAGCCACTCCACCAATCCAACAGTTGATTAATAGTTTCAGGCACAACCCACACCAAACTCCACAACTTTACCAAGTCAGACCAGATACTCCGGGCAAAATGACAATGGAAGAGAACATGACTCACATCTTCAGCACAGGAATTACAAAAACAGCATAGAAAGGTTCCATTGGGATCTAGAGCACCAATATTTTGAAGGAACACAGATGTTTTAAGCCTGCCTCTCCATGCCAACCAACATGTGAACTGCATTTTTGGTGGAGAGATACCCTTCCATAACAAACTCTACCAAAAATTATCAATTTTTAACTTACAATAAACTACGCCAAATAGATCAACTGTTTGTTGGGATTGGACTAGCAAACCGTTGAAACTAGTTGCAAACAAACACTATATTTGTTATCCCAGATAGGCAACCCAAGAGAGATGGTGAATTGGGTTATTAAAAATTTTACAATATTAAAATTAACACAACATTCAGAATTTTAATAAATAAATAAAAAACAGAATAATAATTATCAATATAAAAGTAAGAGAGATAGGGAGAGAAAATCAAACACTGCGATTTATAGTGGTTTGGCACGCCAGGCCTACGTCCACTCCCCAATGAACCTCCTCGAGAATTTCTTTACTATCAATTGAATAAATACACCACCGAGCTTGTGAATTTGGCACAAGACCTACTCTTATGTATTGAGTCTCACTCAACAATAAATATCTTACACTTACAAAATCTCTCACAAAAATAAGAAATAAGAATAAGTGGTACTTAAACCCTCTTTTACAGTAATTCCCTCACAAAGAGTAGATATGAAAGTGTAAGAACAAAGGTTAGACTTAGATCTGAAAGTGAAAGAGTAGAATACAATATACTCAGAATTTTGGAGCTTAAGAAAATTTTCTGTTCAAGTTCTTGATTTTTCTCCACACACAACACTTCTATTTATACACAAAAATATACCCGTTGGACGCTCCTTGCTGACGTCATGGCTTACATAAGCATGTTCCTGACGTCATGGCTTACATAAACACGCTCCTGATGTCATGGCTTACATAAGCACGCTCTTGATGTCATGGCTTACATAAGCACGCTCCTTGATTTTAAATAGTTAGCAAATGTTAATAATTAAAAAGATAAAAGTAAGATTAATTTTTTTCTTTTTCTTTTTTGTTTTTTTCAAACATGGGGCCACCATTTTTGTAGACAATTTAATACAAGGTTCATAACTTTCAAACAAACAAATGATTTGCTCCATCTTGTTTATGATATATATATATATAACTCCATCATTTTCTTCTTGTTTGATTATAATATGATATAATCAATGTAGTGTAGTGTAATATGATATAATCAATATAGTGTAAAAAGTTTAATAGCTCACGTGATGTATTCTATTTATATTATATGCATTATATATATAATGTTCTAATCAAATATTTGCATACAGAAAAATCTCTTTAATAATATTTATGATGGATCTGAAAATATATGCCCTATTAAAAATATTGTATATGTTGTAGAGATTTTAAACTAAATATATCCTACCACTACATTTGGATATATCATTTTTGTCAAAAGAAGACAACTCATTAATATCACATTTGTTAAGATAATACAACCAATCAATCATTTTTGTCAAAATAATATAATTAATCAATTTTAATTTTGTCAAAAAGTGAATAGTAAAGTTTTCAAAAATATTTTTATTTAAATAATATTTAACAAATATATATATATATATATATATTAAAACGATAATATTTTGTGTCAAATAAATATGTATATTAAAAAATCCAGAGTTTTGCAAATAATATTTTAGACATCATCAAAATTAAATAATATGATTAACAATATTAATAGGTTGAACTCACTATAAGTTCCAATCACATGGCTTATGAACCACCAGGGGTGGTGGTGGAGTGGAAAAGTGTCTTCCTTTCACACAGGTGAGCAATGCTCAATTCTTGGGAGCGTGATTAGCGGCCCATTTTTTCAAACGGTTGAAGCTGACTGTGTTATACTCCGCTTGTGACTCTGCCTCCTATACTGAGGGTGAATTCCTTTCTTGCTCCGGTAGTGAGTCTCTTCCTTTGGGTTAGATAAAATCTGGCTGGTAACTGATTATTTTGGAGTTAGGATTTACTAATTCTATGATATCCCCACGAAACGTCTTTTTTTATGTTAAAAAAATAAACACATGGCTCATCTCTAAAAAGAAACATTCATAATCCATGCACACAACAATTTCAAACTATTAAAACAGATGTGAATTATAAAATGAAAAGATAATATAAAAAAATTAACCAGCTTAATGCCTAGACTATAGTAGTCAAAGTATAAAATTTTACTAAGCTTGAAAGCTTACTTATTCAATATTTCAACTGGTCTCAACCGAGTATTTGGTTTGGATTTGTCGAGTTGCATAAAAATAGATCTCATTCGCTGAATCAAGTGCAGAGCTTAATAATTTTAAAAGGATTTATTAAGCATCGTTCAATAGGCGATAGTAAATACTGATATTCATTTAAAAAATATATATATAAAATCTACTATTATTATAAAAGTTTGAAGAATCTGCCAAGTTTTCTATTTTTTTAAAATACCAATTTTACCTTCTCAAATCTATTATATTTTCTAAAAGTCATGAAGAGTCCTATATAAACCAACTATCTCTTTATTTTTGAAGTTGAACACTCAAAAATGATATATCTGTTTCCAAGAGTTTTATATAAATATAAACAAACAGTTTTTCCGTCTCCCTATTTTTTACATTGATGATGATTGAAAAATAAAAAATAATTACTCTTCTTATTTCTAGAGTCTGCTTCTATACTACAATTGTTCATCATGGATCAAATCATTGTGAATAATTTTAATTGATCTTAAAGTTGTATGCATTCGTCTGAATCTAGACAGAGGAAAGCGCATACGTTTTTAAAACAGAAATTTGTACTGCATCTCAAATTTCACAAGTTATTTTTATATACTTTCTTTTTGTTTATATTATATTTATGAACTGCAATATTTTATATG